GTTTTAAAGGGCGAATTTTTGGCCCAATGCTATAAAAGAATAATTTTGTGTCTCATGGCTGAACAATTAAAATTATCAACGAATGTCTAAAAAGTGGGCTCCATGGCCTAGTATTAACAAAATCATTGCCCACTGGAAAATAATATAGGCCTAATGGTCCAATATTAACGAACATCTGGCCCACAATAAAACAATCTGGATCACATGACCAAATGGAATGGGCCAATGTTTAACAAATAGTCAGCCCACAAGGGAACAACATGCACCTAATGGTATAAAAATTTAACTAACGGGCGTAAATAGAAAGGGCCCAGTGGCCCGACTGAAACCAAATAAAAGGTGAACACAAAAACAGTCTAGGTCGAAAGGCCCAAAAGTTGTTTATGAATTGAAGGCCCACAAGAAAATAATATGGGCCTAATGGTCTAATAATTGAATTTAAGGCCCAAATAAAGTGGGCTTTCTGGCCCAAGTAAATGAACAACAGGCCCATGAAAACAATCTGGGCCATATGGTCCACACGTTTATGAATTAAGGCCCACAAGAAAATGATATGGGCCTAGGGGGCTAATAATCAACTTAAGGCCCAAATGAAATGGGCTAACCGGCCCAATGAAAATGAACTGCAGGCCCATGAAAACAATCTGGGCCGTAAGGACCCAAAGTTTTTATGTTTAGTAATTTGAAGACCCAACATAACCACAATGGCCTAATATTTAACAAATAGTCAGCCCACAAGAGAACAATATGGGCTTAATAGTTTAAAATTTTAACTGAAGGCCCAAGTAGAATGGGCCCAAGGCCCGATTGAAAACAAACAAAAGTCCCACATGAGAATAATCTGGGCCTTAAGGCCCAAAGATTGCCTGTTAATGGGCTACCCACAGGAAAATATGGGCCTAAAGGTCCAATAATTTAACTTAAGGCCCAAATGAAACGGACCCATCTGCCCAATATAAACAAACACAGGCCCTTGAAAACAATCTGGGCCATAAGGCCCAAAAATTTATGTTTCAGTAATTTGAAAGCCCAACATAGCCACAATAGCCCAATGTGCACGTATCGGCATCCTACACGAAAACAATAGGGACCTCTTGCCCTAACAGACTTTATTTAACCGCAGAGCCTAAAAGGTTGGACAATCTGGGCCTCGTGACCCAACAATTACAAACTAATTGGAACTGAGGACCCCAATAAGATGGGCCTAATGGTCCTATACTAAGGAATAGCCAGCCCACACGTGCATTTACCACCCAACGTGTATTTATTATAGGTTCTTTACGACCGTCTTTGCTCGTGCCTTCAGACATTAAATATTTTTGGCCCAATACAAACTAAAATGGGTTCAAAACTTCTTTATTGCACCCTAGGATATATTATATGGGCCTAAAAGGTTAATCCGAATTTATTTTTAGGCCTAGTAGCTACGGCTCACGCTAGAGTTCTTGCGGCCCAAAACAAAGATCGGCACAATGAGCAGAAGGGTGCTCCTCTAAACAAATGTCAAAAAAGCTACCCTTTTGTTAAACTAGCCCTGAATTAAATGCCCGACATAAAACTAGAATAGGTGGTACTCCATACTGATCTGCATGCACAGGCCGTTAGAGAAGCATCAGAATCCAAACACTTCTTGAAGATGGACTTACTCTTACTAGCCTTGTATCCAAAAAAAATTTTCAGCGGCCTTCGAGCTGTGGAAAAAGAAAAAATTGTCAGATCCAACTCTACAAACATTCATCAGCAGTATCTACGTATTACAGGTTGAGTGATTAAATATTCAAATTAATTCAACTTCATTTTATACATCCAGATCCTGAGATCATTAACGGTAAGCTATGTGCTTTAGAAAGCAGCAGAGAAATCGCGGTTTCATCCAGTGTTATAAGGAAATCAATTTCTTTTGAACTAGCTAATACCGTTTGCAAGAGATAATAAACAGCCACAAACTTACCTTTTGTCTCACACAGGTAAGCACATCTTTCTTTGAAGAGAAAAAGGATAAGATTAACAGCAAGTATTCATCAAGTGAGTGAAATTCTTCAAAAGAATCCTCATCGGCACACATGGTTTTGCTGGGGCCTGCAGTCAACAGAATCCTCATCATATATTCTCACCTGAAATGCTACTCAAATTATCTGCATCACTTTCAGAATGATAATAAAATTTTTAAGCCAAATTATTCTCTCTTTTTTTTGGTACATGCCAAGTTATTCTCTTTAGGATACATAAATGTATTTTAAAAGCAAAAAACACGTACTAGTAGTGAACCCAACAATTCTCATTTCATTTATGAGCTTCACCAGTTTTGAGCATCAGAACAATTTATTTCTAGATTCTGCTCCAAGAAAACCTCCAGAGACCAGGCCATACTTGTGACCCCAACCTTCTGCAAGAATGCACAGTTAATCCACAAGCAATCAATGGCTGTCACAGTTAATCCCCAACATACATTGTTTCCTATCACAAAATGCACAGTTAATCCACAAGCAACCAATGGTTAACAGGTACAAATTCAACAAGAAAACCCAATGTTTGACACCTTTTCACTTATCATGAAGAGCTCCAGAGAATTTCAACAGAATTTCCAAAGAATATTTTGCCAATGTAAATATGAATTTCTAAACCATCAATTTTCATTATGAATAAAGGTTACTTCTACATATTTACTCTAACTAATTACATTCATCACAAAAATCCTGAAATTCAAACATTCTCCAGAGTCCAATTCGTTTTCTAGACAAAAATTTGTGTTAGTGATGATCCCTCAAGCTTTGACCCAGAGCATGGGCTGGTGAGGTACATAAGTAGTGTTTCTTTCTTTTTTCTATTTTTTTTATTTTTTTTTGAAGAAAAAAAAGAGTAAATAATCATTAGTAAATCAAACTGACTATGAATTAGATAAACAAAAACATGCTGCAACAAAATGATGGAAAACTCAATCAAAAAAACCCAATGACTATTACCATTTTTATGCAGAATAGAAGTTTCATTTATTTAATTATAATAGAGAAACCAAACATGACAGTTACTAATTATTAATGCAAAGATTCAAATACATGAGATTTTTTAGCTTAAGTAGAAACAACAAGAGACAAAGAAAAAGATATGTAAGATATGTGATGAGAATTTTAGTCTAGGGATTGATGGTGTTGTATGGTTGGAGTATACGTATACCTTGTACTCAAGAATGAATGAAAATTCTATTTTACCATAAAAATAAACAAAAAAAAAAAAAAGAAGGAAAAATGTAACATGGAAAACACAATCTTAACTTATTCAAGAGATCCAGTTAACAATCAAATCAAAAGAACGAGTCTCAATTATTTTTAACCTAATCTCCATATCTGTTATCTTAGGATTCCAGTAACAAGGAGCATCATCGTTCCAGACCTCACCCAGTAAAGAAATATGAGATTAAAAAATTCAAAAGCACTCTAAATCTGTATCATAAATCACAAGCAAAAGCTCATATACGCAAACAAAATGCAGAAAAGAAAAACTAGATTGCAATTCCACACCTAGCCAATTGTTAATTGTTTATGGCTTAGAAAAATCACAAGAATTGCTCCAAGATTCTTTCAAGAAATGCATCATGAACAAGCTTCCCCCTCTCTTTTTCATATCTAATGGCTAGACAGAAAACAAGATCATCCATCAGGCGCCTAAATCTCCCAAAGAATATTCATAAACTTTCCAACTAGTTCAAATGAATTTGATGATATAAATCTGACATAAGAAAAAGATGAAAACCCTAGACGATCAAATGAAAGAATGAGAGATCGAAAGAACAAACCTCCAGTGCATTTCTTTTTCTAACACCTAACGTATCCTTTGATCCCCTGCTTATCTTTCCCCAGCCCTGCTCCTTCAAACCCCTGCGTCACCAGCCAAACACTCCGCTAAGCAACATATAAACGCAATTATAAGCAAATATAAGTTCGTATAAGCTACTTAGAAACGGTACCATTTGTTTCATGAGGCGGAAAACGGTGGATTGGCTAGCGACTCCGACGTAGCAGAAAGGAGCTTCCGGCGCCGCAATGGTTTATTTGCCGAGTATCTACAGCTGACTTCTCGAGATCTAGTAGTGAAGAGAGGCACAAGCAACGAATTGGCAAACGACTCCGACGTAGCGGAAAGGAGCTTCCGGCGCCGCTGTGGTTTATTCCCGGAGAATCCACAGCCGACTTCTCGGGAACGAGTAGTGAAAACTGAAAAGGCGCGATGTGTGAAAACGAAAACATTTTAACCTGAGGAACTGGGAGATATCCAGTGCTTTGGAGCACATTGCAATTCATTGAACCCGCAGTGATTGACGGTCGAGATTCATTCTTAATACGTCATCTTCTTTCCGATGAAGATGGGTCCCATGGTTCAGTTGGCTCCATACCACGGGCGGCCAGTTCAAATTCGGGCTACCTTACCTCGTTTGTCTTATTGGGCTTTGGCCCATCCTTTTATCAAAAAAACAAAGATTAAATGCTAATTTTGGTCCCTCAACATTAAGGTTTGCACAATTTTTATCCTTCATCTTTTTTATGCATTTTTTTGCCCCTTAATTATGAAAAATGCACTTTTTTAATCATTTTCTTAATTATTCTGTTAATTTTATCTAAATATGAACATTTTTAATTCCTCAACTTTAAGTTGAAGATGAAAATTAGGCATATATTAGAAGTTAGATTAAAAATATGTAAATTAAGATAGATTTCATGGATTAGTTGACGAAATGATTAAAAAAATATATTTTTATAGTTAAATGACCAAAAAAATGTATAAAAATTTAATGAATGAAAATTATATAAAACTTTAAAATTGAGAAATCAAAATTGACATTTAACCAAAAAAAGAAATCTATCTTTATTAGACCGAATAATTAATATCTAACCTTTGTAGTTAGGCCCTATATATATATGGGTACCGAACATTAAACTAATTAATTATTTGAGTGCTTGTAAATGGATTGGTTCATAACCTTCAAATGTGACTATTGGCGAATAATAGATCCGCCTAATTTTTTTAAAAAATTGGAGTATTAATTTCAAAAATAATAGTGTATTTATAATATTTTTAAAAACAAATCCTTAAATGAACTTTATGGTGTTCAAAAAAATTTTATTAGAATAAAATTTTATTTATATATTATGTATGTTATTTTTTAAGTTGATATAAGACGTATAATTATTTGATCAATAAAATCTCAAATAAGGCCTATCATATTTTACCGTTCTTTTACCGCTGGACTGGTGAATTGATAAATTGACAATGGAAAAAAAGAGAGAACACTACTGGGACATTTTATTTTATTCACAGCTCTTAGAGATCATGGTGTAAAAGGCAAAATTAGAAGCTAAGAACTAAATAAAACCCAAAAAAAAAACACTTTCCTAATCAAAACCCCATAATCATCTCCTCCTCCTCCATTGTCTCTAAAATCATCATCTCCTCCCTCCTACCGGTGGGTGTTGCTACCGGAGAAGGAAGTATCACAGCTTCGCGTTGGCCATCAAGAACACGCTTGATTCTCTCCTCGGTCGTTCCAAATGCAGCAGCCAGCTCAGGTCCATGCAATGCATGAAGTAGTGAGTTTGCACCAACAAGGAACTGAGGCCGATTCTTGTGTGCGGAGGTTGTGAATCCGAAGAACTCAAATGGTCCTGCTCGTGATGCAATTTGACAGAAGGCCAAGTATCTCGGCACCCAAAACACATCGCCTTCTGTTACTTTGGCGTCCATAGCTGAAGTTCCATTCGGAAACACAATCTGTATTCTTCCAGTTCCTCGCAGTACAATTCCATACTCTGTTGCAGTGGGATTCAGATGCGGTGCCATCATCGATCCCTGTAACACAGAGCCTTCATCAGTATATATAAGTTTTAAATCTCAACTCATCAATTAATATGTAGACTACTTATTGATTACCGCTGTGAGATTGACGAGATATACACCGATGCCAGAGTGTTTGAGAGCACTGTAATCCGACCCATCAAGAGCAATGCTCCATCCGTAGTTGTTTCTGAAATCAGGGCTTCTATTATAGAGGTTGTACGAGTCAGGGGATTTTCTGGTACCCTTGTAACCATCTCCGGTGATTTTAATTCCAAAGAAGGAATTCAAGAGTTCCCTCCACGACCATCCCGTTTGTTCTTCCTCTGCCTGGCCAGACTCATGCCGGACCTCCACCATCTTCTTCAGGTGTTGTAGTCTGTCTGTCTCCCTGAGTTCAATGAATTTTGTCCAAAAGCTTGGTGTATGAGTCCTGTTCATGTACACTATTGGACCCTCTTGTTGCCTGTCCAAGATATCCATCACAACCGACTTGGAGACCTAAAATTAGACATTTTTTTCCCAGTTAATTTAGGCTTACAAATGGAAGTAATGATCGGAATATACATGTGTGGAAGACCGATTTAATGGAGAGTTTGCTTACATTAAAGGCTGTAGAAAGGGTTTGGAGTTTGAATCCAAAAAGGATAGATGTTGGATAGGAGCCTCCACCGATGAAAAAAGACTGCAGATATCCAAAGACAGAAAATTAGCGATTAAAAGCTTGCGTTTAGCCATTTTTAACAAAAGAGAAAAGGAAATCACTTTACCTGGAAAGAACCAAACCCCAAGCTTTCAGATTCGTCAATGCTGCAAAT